CAGTACTTTGCAGACAGGCAAGTGTCTATCATTGTGTAATAATAATTATTAATAAACCTTTTTGTTCAAACACTAGCTGTGAGGAGGTTTACTAAAAACAGTCAATGTTGAGGTAGAGTGTGTGGGCCTGACTCTCCCAAATTAGTAGGAAACTTGTTTTCTGGCTGCAGTGATTTGAGATGTTAATAAATTTATTTATTTATTATTTTATTTTGTTCTCATTTCATGAATTTCATGTTTTTTATGAAGCCAATCACGAAATAAATTACTGACTGCTGTTCATATTATTTCAGAGACATGTTTTGTGCAGGACGAGTTCAAGAAGATGAYCYTCTCCGTACAATGAAGGCATGTGGTGGTGCCATTCAAACATCAGTAAACAGCATGACGGAYGACATACTTGGCCGATGTGAAATGTTTGAAGAAAACCAAATTGGTGGAGAAAGGTTGGTGTATTAACAAATAATTTTACCAGTTGTGTTAAACATATTGAGTTTCCTTACATTTTGTTTTATATGTGTAATATTAAGCTGAATTTTTTAACATTAATTTGAGGTGTGTTTATTGCATTGTTTTCTTTGATGTATTTTGTGCTATGTTATCCTATTTTTCAATGTAGCATGCAATGTAATGATAAGTACCTTATAAATTACATTGAGTCCACCTTTGATATTTAGATACAACATATTCTCTGGCTGTCCTCAAGCACAAACTTGTACAATAATCCTCCGAGGTGGAGCTCAGCAGTTCATGGCCGAAACAGAACGTTCCTTGCACGATGCAATCATGATTGTGAGAAGAGCTATCAAAAATGMCTCGGTAGTGGCTGGAGGAGGAGCAATTGAAATGGAACTCAGCAAATACTTACGGGACTATTCAAGAACCATTGCCGGCAAAGAACAACTGTTGATTGGTGCAATGGCCAAGGCTTTTGAGATCATCCCACGTCAGCTGTGTGATAATGCTGGCTTTGATGCCACTAATGTGTTGAATAAACTAAGACAAAAGCACTTCCAGGGTATGTATTGAGCCATTGTATCCATTAGTTCAGGACTAGTGAACACCAAAATGAATTTTTCTAGTAGTTCAAATGTTTTGAAGATGGTAAAAAAATGAGCAACTGAACCAAGATATACTAGATTCATGAAAACAGCATTTTGAAACTTTCTGTGAWAACATCTGTTTGCAAAGGAGAGCTCCAACTTTAAATAGATATCATTTATAAACAGGTTATGAGAAATTGGTTGTAATCATAAGATAATCACTGGTTAACATCTCAATTCTCTCTAAGGTGGTTTGTGGTATGGAGTAGACATTAACAGAGAAGACATAGCTGACAATTTTGAAGCGTGCGTGTGGGAACCAGCTGTTGTTAGAATCAACGCCATTACAGCAGCATGTGAAGCTGCCTGCCTAATTTTATCTGTTGATGAAACTGTCAAGAATCCTAAGTCAGGTGATGGTGGACCACCAGGGGCAATGCCAGGAATGGGGAGAGGGCGTGGTCGTCCGCGATAGACTTTGGGTGCGAGTTGATAAATCTTTCAGCTCTAGTCTTTGCATTAGAAATGTGGCACAGCAAGGAAGAATCCAATAGCTTTGAAGCCAGTGAGAACACAAAGAATTTGT